ATTGTTGTTTGGCGGGTCCGGGCTGGGGATTCGAACCCGCCACCTTAGGTGTACGTGGCTGGCGCCTTAGCCGGTTGAGCTATAGGCACCGAGCCTCATTAGTTTTTTTGGCGTGAAAATGCTACTTGGATTATGTTTAAAAGAAAGTCTTTATCTGAAATGCTGATATGATTAAGGAAGAAATCATGTCTTGGATTTGCTTGAAAATAATCCAGTAGGAGGAGGGATGGAATAGAGCACAAAAAGGTTGGCCTGGGGCGGCACCTGGGGCTCAAAGAAGTAGGGCACCTGACGTATACTGGAGGTGGTGGGTTGAAACCCAGCCCCAGCCAAAAACTGCAAAGAAAGGTTGGCCACAAGCTGATAATTGTTGAAGCTGGGGGATGGGTACATGGAGGTTTATCATTACTATTTTCTCTACTTTTATGCATGTATGAAATTTCTACACTAAGTTAATAAAAGAACCCAGAAAGACTGAAAAAAAAGGTTGCAGATAGTTAAAAGTTCCCCTTTAAAAATCCTACAATAAACATGAGCTATCCCTTTCCTTTATACTTGCAGGAAAAGGAAAAAAGTCCTCACGAAAATAGACAAGTGTAACAAAAAGCAGCACCTTATTTCTTATTCGATCTCTCTTAACCACTTCCTCTTTCTTTTCCGTTTTGTCTGAGCTGCCTATTGATTCTGTACTTTCATTCTTCTTTCCTTTATCCCGAAGTGCTTCTTTCTCTTTTTTCATTTCTTCTTCTTTTCTTTTAAAAATCCTCTCTTTCTCATAACGTTCCTTCTGCCTACGGCGCTCTTCTTCTTGCCGCTTCAGCCTCTCTCTTTCTCGAAGTATGCGCTCCTGCTCACGTTCATAATCCCGTTCTCTCTCCCTGTAGTCTCTGCCACTCTCCTCTTCAAGTCTGCATGAAAAATAAATCTGAGACAGAACCCTCAAATATCTGTAATCACAAATGCAGAAACACTATAATTCTGTCTTGGTCACTGCAATGAGGATGCACTTTTAGGGCAGAGTGAAAAATACTAGTGTTTTAAAAAGCAACAAAACTCCCAAATCATTCACCCAGATTAAGATACTGGAATATTTGAAGCCCTTCCTCCTCAACCCCCTGCCCCAAATAAAACAGTTTATCTTATTTCGGGTACAAGTCCAGAACACAACAGCAAAACTAGCAACTAGATATCAAGTATACCAAAGAGTCCTCAACTACTGACCTCTTTGGCTTTTCATCTTTAAGTTCACTATCAGATCGCTTGGGCAATGTACAACTTTGCCCACTGGCTCTTTCATCATTCAGATTCTCTTTGTCCAATTTCTTGGTTTTTTCTCTTTTGTCCAACTCTTTTTCATCTCCTTTTTCTGGCTTCTTGAGCAGCTTTAAAGAGAATATGTTTATTTTTATTTTGAAAGGTGGTTCACTGTGTTTTCATTTTATCAAAGAAAACAATATACTAAATATTTCAAATTTAGACTATAGAAGACCCCTATCTCCACAGGTACTCTTAAGCTTTCAGGTGAACTACTTCTGTATAAGAGCAATAATTTATTAAAAGGATGCTATTAATGGGAAAGTGTTACCCACCCGAATGAAGTGGTTTAATCACTTTATGGCAATGGGATCAAGACTCCTTTGGTTTTCAATGGGTCAAACTTTAAATGAACTAATGGACACTTCCAAGTATGCTTCTGTAGCAAACCAGCATGTCAATCTAACTTGAAGGAAAATATCCTACAAATTTAAAATACTAGGCAGATCATTACTGTTGGATTGCTTTTATGTAGTACTTGGAATGATAAATGCCAAATACCTTCACCACCAAAGGAGAGATCCATTGCAGGAATAATTCTGCCTTGAGCCTGAGAATAACATACTTATGATGGTAGAATTATACTACCATTAAAGATGAATAGCAAGATTTGGCATTTGATTAAAAGGAGAAGTTATAGAAGTTCCACCTCTACTGAGTAGGAACTCTATACTCAATGTCACATATCTTTATATATGTCTGAAAATGTCATTGTTTCTCACATCAATGCTATAAATCTCTCTAGAATAATGCCAAGTATTGGATAGTCAGAGAGATTCTGAGGCAAAACAGAATTTCAAATCTCAGAGTGAAGGTATCATAAAATGTTAATCTCAGGGTTAAGGCATTAATACAAGTCACCAAGAAAAAGGCAAAGCACCATAAGACTCAAGCATGAAGCATGTCAGCACACAGATAGCCACTGCAAATGGCCAATCCAAACTGCACACTAAGAAGGAACCAGTGTGAAGTAAGATACCATGTGCAGGTTTCATTGGAAGTGTTCTTATTTCTCTAATGAACATCTTTATTAGAGACCAAGATGTTCATTACTTTAGTAAGAACACTAATGAGTATCTCTAGCATGGCTGGCTCTACCTTCTGCCTTGCTGAATGTTAGGAATAACAAGTCAAGTCACTCATGGCATGGTGGGCAGAAAGATTGCTTGAAGGTATTAAGATGAGAAACTCCACTTGTCCCCAAACCCCTTTCCCCAATAATAAGCCCTGTAGAGACTCAGTAAACCCTAGCCACATAAACTACTGAGTTTTCAGTAGATAAAAAGGAGACCCTGCCACCATCTCTCTAAGATTTTCTCTGAAGTTCACTGGAGCATGGGCCGCCCAAGCCATGCCCTCATACAGGAAGCAGAAAGATTGGGATCTTTCTATAGGTTTTCTACTTCCTACGTGCAATGCATTAATCAGAATCTGCTGCTCACAAATTCCCAGCTTGATTCAAGACAACATGGGAGTCACATAAGAGAGAAAGGCACATAATGCAGGATATATATTCCTAGTCCTCCCACAAGGCAGCCAGTTATGACAGTCATATAAGATGAGAAACAGCTATATAGGCATGGTTGTCCTTTGGCCATAGGTCATTGAAGCTTCTGGGTACACAGAAGAGCATCAGGAATTCATCTGAGATTCCTTTTAAAGTAGTGGAATTTAAAACAGCTTAGCTTTTGAGAAGACCCAAGTCAGTGTGAAGGGGTTTTCAATAGGTAACACTACTACCACCACCACCACCAAAAAGACTTATTAGCTAAGACCTGTGTGTGTTACATGATACTAGGTGCTCTGTATCATGTACTGGGTCCTTACATTTTTCTGATTCACAGCTTGTAACAGAAACCTGTGTACCTGAAGACAGTGGAAAACAAACAGATGAGGCATTATGAAGAAAAAGCTGAATAAAACCCATAATTCATGCCAGCCAGCCCTAAGCCCTCATTTACTACGAATTAAGAGAACAATACCCCCAAATTGAACATTTTCAATGATAAAAATGACACAGATTTGTGTTGAAGAAATGATAACATAAACTACTTAATCTCTTTAAATTATCTTAAATTTAAAAAATAATAGTATTACATGAAAGATTATTAATGGCTCATTTCTTCACTCCCCCACCCAAAGGACAAAAACAAAACAAAAAACTCATTTACAATATCACAAAATGCATGCATATTTAAAGAGGCAGACACATGCAATTTTCAGCAACATGCAGTCAATTTCAGTTACTTTCATACCTTAATCTTTGGTTCATCCTTTATTTTTTCCCTTTCTGGAACTCTGTCAATCTTCTTTAGCTTTTCTATATCTTTCCTTTTCCGTTTCTCCTCTTCTTTCCATTTTCTCCTCTCTTCTTCTCTTTGTCTTTTTCTTTCTATTTCTCGCCTCCTTCTTTCTTCTCTTTTTTCTTCTCTCATTCTCTAGAAAGAGACACCAACAGAAGCTTTCAAATAAGATAAATCATCACTACCTACTCAATCCCAAAGATATGGTAGGCACCCACTAAACTGGATTATCTTTCCTTCCCACTTTCCACAAAGTGGCATTCTACCTCCTTAACCCCATTTCTCCCAGAAAATGACAGAGAATGAAGATCAGGACCTGCTAATATCAAAGTTTCCTATTGCTGCCTTGCTATATTTCTAGATGCTTTCAGAATATCAAGAGAGTTTCTCTGGGATAAGCTAAGGACTCTCTGGGTTTGCAGACTAAACAAACCCTGGTCCATCAACCAGAGTAAAGAAGAGAGGTAGAGAGTGAGATCAATGGGCCAAATATTTAAAGAATGATGGCGAAAACACAGCTATTTCTCCTATAGAACTCCAATGCTCTTAAAACGTTTATAAGATGTGAATCAATGAAATTAAAGTATTGAGAGAACTATAAAAACAAAAGATTTACCTGCTTGTTTTTCAGGAAGCTCAAAAGTGGGGTTGTCTTTTTAGCTACATAAATGTAAAGAGATTATTAATAATAATATTTATCAATCCCTAGAAAGGATTCCATCTTCTGACATTCCCTGCCACCCACCCAAGGTGGGAAAACTATACCCCGTAAACGCTCATAACTGGATATCAGAAAGAAGTGTTACAGCATTCCCATTTCAAAAATATAGGTTTAAAATACTTTTTTATAAGAAATTCCAATTAAAACAATAAAACCATTTTTTAAAAAAGTAAATTCCCCGTTGATGGATATTAAGTACAAAGGACATTCTCTTGTTTTACTGACATGGGTATAAATGTGTTCAACTGGAAAAAAATTGGGGGAAGGGGTTAAAAAGAACATCTAATCCTTCTGACTCCGTAATTCTGCTTCTGGGAATTTATTCTAAGGAAGTTACCAGAAATGGACTTATACTATGCATCCATTAATAAAAGGTTTAGAATTCATTTTTCAACATTCTGAACAATGTTACTAGCCTTGTAGCCATCTTTGTGAACACATACGTATACTTCCTTAGGATAAATTCCTAGGAATGAAAATCCTGGGTCAAAGACTATGCTCATGTTTAGAGCTACTGATAGAGTAGACTTTCTCAAGAGGTTTTCAATTTTATAGTAACCAATTTCAGTTTTTTGATATTTTCAAGTCAAACTCTTTTTAGGAATATGAATTTATTACTAAGAAATATCAATTGGGCTTGGCACCTATAGCTCAACCGGCTAAGGCGCCAGCCACGTACACCTAAGGTGGCGGGTTCGAATCCCCAGCCCGGACCCGCCAAACAACAATG